CCTTTAGTGGAAGAAAGGTCTTCTGATTCATTACCCCATTGCCACAGTCACTGAGTCAATCCATCTCACTGAGGGTCGTCTTCTCTTGTGCTGTTGCTCCACCCTTCCAAGCATGACTGGTCCCTCCTTGCAACATGCCCAAAATATGTCAGATGGAACTTCAGAATCCTTGACTCCAAGGAGCAGCCTGGCTTTACCCTCTCCAGTACGAACTTGTTTGTTCTTCTAGCAGTTCATGGTGTATTCAATATTCTTCTACAGCACCACAGCTCAAAGGCATCAATTCTCCTTCTATCATCCCTAGTTATTGTCTAGCTTTCTGATGCATAGCAAGAAATTATGAAGCCCGTGGCCTGGAACAGGCACACCTTAATCTCCAGTCTGACATTATTGCTTGTCATTACTCTGGAGAGGTCCCTAGTGGCAGACTTTCCCAGTGCAATTAATCTTTTAGTTTCCTGATTGTTGCTACCAAGAATGTTGAACCACTTAATTATTACCATTTCATTTTAAAATTGGTTATTTGGGAGCAAATAAATATGAATTAATAGAGTATAAACAAAATTTATCAAATAGTTGTGATTTATAAAATGAGCTATACATTTGAATTTTCACATTAACAGAATTTTCTATTTATAAATTATTAAATGAAAAATTGAACATGTAGTTTTTTAGATCCAAGATTGTAGATTAAAAAAAAATAGAGCTTGCAAGGTTGTTGGAAATCAGTTAATTTGTTTCTGACGTTTGCTGTTGGCCTTTCAGAGATGTCTGTGAGTAGTATTTATCTTGATGTAATGCTTAAAATTGTAGGTGATTACATTCCATCCTTCTTTGACACGGTGTCTTCACAGTTCATTCTGTATTGCTAAAACTAAACAAGGGTGACAGTGATCTCAAAAAGCCCAGTACAGATACAAGGAAGGATATGCTCAAGCTGAAGACATACTTGGATTTGCTCTGTGTAGCATCAGATATGTAACAAGTCGCATGATTGTGTTGTCATTGGCTTGTCTGTAGAGAAGTTGCACTGCTAATCCAATGCTGGCTTGAATCCACCAGTGACTTTCAGCAATCTGTGTGATTTACAGCCTTTGTAAAACCCAGTAGAGGTCTTACTGTGTTGCTTCTTACTGTATGGCTGTGAGTTTGAGTTGGGTTATTTTTGTGCATATTCTTAAGTTACTGAAAAAGATAAAAGTGAAATTATATAGAATTGTTACAAAAGGAAGAGGAAAATGTGAATATTGTTATATGCACAGAGTTCAGGGTACTTTTCCATGTGTCCTGTCTGGTTGGCATTTGTGGGTCTTTTCTTTGGACAGCTGATGCCTTAAACATACATTTCTTTTGTTTATTGGGTAATCTGCCCTTGACCATACATTATCTTGGTGGTATTTGAAATACTGATGATATAGCTTCCAGTGTCATACTAATTACTGACTCATTGCTGTCAAGTAGGAGCTGACACACAGCTGATCCTTTGGTGAATTTTTAGAGGCTGTAAACAGCACAGGAGGAGATTGCTTATCATTTTTCAACAGAAGGACTGGGGGATTTGAACTCCCAGAAAGGCACTAATTTTATGTTAGCAGTGTAACTTTCTACAGACTACATCACCAGAGTTCTCTCCACCATCATGTTATTGTTGTGTGCTGTTGGGTTGGAAACAGCTCATCCCTGACACTCCATTGGGTTTTCAAAGGCAGTAAATCACATGAGAGGATGCCTATTTTTCTTTTGCAGAGTAGCTGATAAATATGAATCATGTGCCTCTGGGTCAGTGGTGACATTTTTTACAGCTAGATCCTCAGTTTTCAGCCTGACATCATTGCTCTTGAGAAATTTGGTGAGGTCCCTGACAGCAGACTTGCCTAGAGCAGTGTATCTTGACAAACTGGTAGGTGGGAGCTAATGTTGAAGACCTTTAGACAGACCTCCTCTCCTCCTCATGAAGTTCTATGAGTTACTCTAACATTTCATTGTTTGACCAATTGCATTGGGGAACCTGCTGTCAGAGACCTCTCCAGAGTGCTGAAGAGCAGCAATATCAGGCTGGAGGCCAAGGTGCACCTAATCCAGGGCATGGTCTTCACAATTACTTGCTATGCATCACAGAGTTGAACAGTGACTAAAGACGGGAGATGAAATATTGATGCCTTTGAGCTGTGGTGCTGGAGAAGAATATTGGACATACCATAGAGAACTAACAGGTTTGTCCTGGAGATGGTGAAACCAAGCTGCTCCTTGGAGGCATGGATTTGAACCTCATCTGACATACTTTGGGCATGTAGCTAGGAGGGACTGATTCTTGACCTGGATTATGATTGGAAGGGTGAAGCAACAGTGCAGGAGAGGGAGACCGTGGATGTGATGGATTGACACAGTAACCAGGGTAATGGTAGGTGTGTTGGAGGCAGTAAGGTATACTTAGGGTAGGGCAGGATTCAGAGACACTGTGCATAGGGCTGCTATGAGTCGCAGAGGACCAGAAGACACATAACAACAAAAAGAACCTAGTTTAAATTGCTTAGATGCAATATATTATTTCCATTTTAAATGTTTATGTTAATGATTCTATCTTAATATATCTTAATAGCTTGTTTTTAACACCTGTATTTTACTGGAGATAAAATGTTATAGTTTATAGTAAAATAGAGGTTTTTATAAAAAATTTTTGCATATTTACATCCCTCCTCCTTCCTCCCGTCCAATTTTGCAATGCCCATTTGGTTCCAGATTGTTGTCATACATGTAATACCTAATCATATATTCCTTTTGGACTGTTCTTCCCCTCATCTGTTCCAATCTAGTGTTATCTACTTTTTTCCTATTCTTCCCTCACCCTCCCATGTCAGTCATATTTTATAACAGAAGTGTATTTGTCCTTTTGGACAGAGATATTTCACTCAAAATAATGTTCTTTAGGATCACCTATGTTGGGTAGTGTTTTCTGAGTTCATTGTTTTACAGTGCTGCATAATATTCCATTGTGTGGATGTACCATAGTTTTTCTATCCATTTGTTTATTGCTGAACACTTCAGTTGCATCTGTGTCTTTGCTATTGTGAGTAACACAGCAATAAATATGGGTATGCAAACACCTGTTTGAGTTGTGGCTCTGGTTTCTCAGTAGTGAAATTGTTGGGTCAAATGGTATTTCTGTTTCTAACTTTTTGAGAAAGCACCAGACTGCCTCCTATAGTGGTTGTACCATTTTACATTCCAGCCAACAGTGAATAAGAGTTCCAGTCTCTCCACAACCTTGCCAGTATTTTTTTTTGCTGCCCTGTTGAACTTTGCTATTATTGCTGGAGTGAGATGATCGATATCTCATTGTTGTTTTCATTTGCACCTCTCATAGTAGGGATTTTGAACATGTCTTATGTATTTGTTTGCTATCTGAGTGTCTTCTTTGGGGAAGTGTCTGTTCATATCTTGTAGGAATTTTTTTGAGAGGCCATGAACAGGCCATTGTTTAGATTTTTCTTTTCCACTTTCCCCCACCTCCCACCCCCTGTATAGTAAATTTCCTAAAAGGCAAGTAGAGAGGTCTGGTGGCTTAGTAGTAAGGAATTTCACTGTCAAGAGTCACACAGTTCAAATCTACCAGCTGCTCCATGGGAGAAAAATGGGCAGTCTCTATTCCCATGCAATTTAAATGCCTTTGAAAGCCTGTTGGCACTTCAGCTATGAGTCAGTTCTGATTAGATGGCACACAACACCAACACCTACAAAGGGGAATGGGATGAAGAGTGGGGATTGAAAAGAAAGGAAGCTATTGATTGTTTCTAGGGGAGGGCCAGGTTAAAGTCACTCAAGAAAAAAAAATCCATTATGATTTACATATATACCGAAGCTCTGAGAACTCTTTAATTTGCAACTCTTAATTGAACTCTTAATTGTGAGAAGGTGTGATTTTACTCTTACCCTTTTTCCCTATCTTCACTTCAAAATGCCTTAAAAGACAAACACTTGAGTAGGCTATAAACCTTGAATATATATATGCCAATGCTTAATATTGTGGCCTAGTGGTAAGAAGCTGTGCTGCAATCCTAAAGTGGCACGCAGTTTGAATCTAATGCCTCTGAAAACCCACTGGAGGGTCAACTATGACTCAATTCCAACTCAACAGCACCTCCACAACAACATACTTAATATTGATTGTTTTCTGTTATAAACTCTTAAAGGATATGTATGAACTGTGCACTGTAACTTCCCTGCTGTTCTTATTTGGTGCCATCAAGTTGACTATTATTTGAATGTTGCCCTGTCCTATGCCATCCTTACTGTCTCTGACATGCTTCAGCCCACTGTTATAGTCATTAAGTCAGTCCATCTTGTTGAGGATCTTTTTCTCTTTCTCTGACCTTCCTAAATTGCCAAAAAGATAAAAAAAGTCTGCCTTGGAGGAAGTACAACCAGAGTGCTCTTTGGAGGTAAGGGTAATGAAATTGCAGTCTGACAGACACTTAAACATGTTGTAAAGGAGAGGCCAGTCTTTGGAGAAAGAGCTCCCTGACATGATTAGATATTATTGTTATGATAGGAGTCCAGAACGAAGGTAGTAAAGTGGAGTGGACTTGGCGGGGGGAAGAACTGAACAACAGTGAAAGAATTTTTTTCTTTTACTTTTCAAAAAGAAAAGCGAATTGGGGAGGGGTGGGCAGGGAGAAAAGTGCAACAGTGAATGAATAGAAATCCAAAGTCTCTGTAGACGTTCATGAAAATCAATTAAAAAAAAAGAACCATTGTTTTGTGGTAGATAAGTGTCATAGAGTTGAGCATTATGCATAGTGACTCCGTGGACAATAGAGGTCTTTTTTTTTTCTTCACCTTTTTCATTTTTAGGTATATATTTGCATACTTTTTGATAGATATGTAGAAGAAATATTTTTGTAACCCTCTTTTTTTATCCTATCTTCTAAACGGTCTTTTCTCCATAGAGTTATTGTAAAAATTCATTTGAGCTGAATGGAGTGTTCTCTTCCTCTTTTCAGGCCCAGATTGCCTTTCTTCAGGGAGAAAGGAAAGGTCAAGAAAATCTGAAGAAGGATCTGGTGAGGAGGATCAAAATGCTGGAATATGCTCTGAAACAGGAAAGGTAATTCAGTAAAAAGGAAGATAGTATTTTCTCAAATGATAGAATAATTTTCTTGCCATTCTTTAACGAAACAGAATTACTTTGTATAGTATAATTAAAGACGTTTCTCTTGGAAACATTTTCAGGAGTAGTTTTACTGTGTTAATTTTATAATGAATAGTTTAATGTAAATAATAGTGAGCAATAAATTTATTTCTATGATTTATAAATTTTTAGCAGCTTTCTTTGCCTTGTCTGTTAGGTTTAGTTAGTGTTGGGTTGTTTTTTTTTTAAATTTATGTTTTTTGGGGGTAGGGGCTGTTTTTTGTTTTTTTTTTGCCTGGAGTTGAAGTAGTATTTAAATTGTAAAGGAACTTTCCAAGTTGTTTATTCCTTTCTTTGTCATCTGGTATTTCTCAGTTAGATATATTAGGAAGAAAAATTCTCTGGTTGAGATTCTTTATAGAGATGTTTTTGTATATGTGTTTTGTTATTTGCTACCAGCTCTTTCAGTCTCTTCAGAAGCTAATCCTACCTTTTGAGTTTGTTAGTGTGTAAGAAAGGGAGCTTTGGTGGCCACCTAGTAAGGACCTGTACTGCCAACCTAAGGTGCATGGTTTGAATCCAACAGTTGCTCCACTAGAGGGTCAACTCTGAGTTGCTTTCAGCTTGACAGTACATGATTACAAGTGTGTATGATAGCTAAGTAATATTGTATCACAAAATAAGTCTTTAATGAGAATTTAGGAAATGATCATGTGAATTACTTTAATATGCCTTAATATATGTCTTAAGATTTTTTGTTTAACCATTGAAATTAGTTCTTTGGTTTATGTAATTGAATGGTTAGTAGTAATACTGAAATTTTCTGTTTTCTTGCACTTTTTATGATTCCTTAGCCTATTTTTCTCATCTTTTTGAAGGAGATGGATAGGCTTGTAGCTTGTCTACTCTTCAATATGGTCATCAAGAAATTGTCTTCAGTACATTCTTTAATTTTTTCCCCCTATTAAGTAAAAATAGCAAAACAGGAGTCCAGACTTTTCTGTGCAAACAAAGGAAGTTTATTAGGGAAAATACTTTGCAAATGGACACATGGCAAGCAATGCCTTGTCCTTCCATGATGCAGGGAACAAAGGAGGAAGTGATTGTTTTAATGGCTCTGGAGGTGGAGAAAGAATATATGCTCATTTACAAGAGAGTGGCATTTTTCAAAGCATATATTTGCCAAAAGGAAGAGATCATCATGTTTATTCATGGGAGGAATATAGGATGTCATATGCACAGTTGTTCTTTCAAGGTATCTGCCACCAGAAGTGCTTTTTGGTTCTTGTGGGGAACATGTCCAGATGTTCAGGATGGTCCTGAGTATGCAAGGATCAGAAGATTTCACAAACACGTATGTAGCTTTAAAGATGGCCATCTGTAGGTGAGATGCTTGGTCATCATGGAGCATGCCTTTCCACGATGGCTGTTTTGTAGAGAGTCTTATAGGAGTCACTAACATGACACCTGAAAATTTAGCAGAGTTAAAAGTTGTTAAGAAGGAACGGCTGAAAGTGCCTAGGCTGCTCATCTAGAGGATGTTCATGGGTCTTGTGATGCCTGCAGTAGCTGAATCCTGGCTTTCCTGACTGAGTCATCTCATGGCATAATTCTTTAATTTAGCACGTCATGTAATGAGGGAAAATTAAGAACGTCTGTGATTCAGAGTAAACCTAGTAGTAATTCAGTTACTAAGTTTTCCCTTCTTACTCATTGAAAAGTTTATCTTTGATAGAGAGTGGAAAGATAATACTAGAAGGGAGTGAAACTCAGCTGTTGGTTGTAGGGTGGAGAGGCAGTCTAAAGCAGTTAAAGAATTTAAACTTGATGAAGTTCTCAAAATTGTCTTTATAGGCTAAAAGGACACTTCCCTTTTAAAAATTATTAACGAAATAGTAGTTTTCTGATGCTTTCTTAACTGTTGCAGGCTTTCCCAAAACTGCCATAAAGTAGTGTTAGCAGATAATATTGATGAATAACAAATACGATGACGTGGGTTCCCAACTATCCAGGAATAGTGCAGACTTAACAGGTTAAAGCCATAGCCAAGCACAAGATTGATGTGTATGTATACTTTTTCACATTAACGCTGTAATTTTAAGTATAGCATTTCCTTGAATTCTAAGAGTCATTCCAGCGTGCTATCAAACTTGAGAGGATATCAGGAAATTCTCAATGTGAAATTAGCTGATCATAAACAAGATCAAGGCCACTTTTGCTTTTGACCAGCTCACTACATATTTAGAGTTTCCTCATACCCTCTCAAGTTTCATAATATGCTGGAATGGATCCTAGAACTCAAGGAAGTGCCATACTTAAAATTACAGTTTTAATTAATTACAGTTTTATTGTGGAAAAAGTATACAGGTCAAAGCCAGTCAAAGGGAGAGATGCATACACAAGGTCTGAGAGGGCCAAGCAACTTCTGTGTCCTTTCTCTTTAGAGCCAGGTTGTCATCTTCCCTGCACATTTATCTGTGACAATAGGCAGAAGAGTGCCTCCCAAGCAGGATTTCCTAGGCTTTGGTGTCCACAGAGTTTGTTGTTGTTGTTGTTGTTGTTGTGTATTATCCCACAACTTGGGTTGGAACCCACCACTAGCTGACTCACCAGCAGATTTTCACAGGCAATTAATCACGTGGGAGGAGATTGCCCATCCTTCTCCCCCAGAGCAGCTGACAGATTCACACTGTATGCCTTCAGGATTGCAGGCAGATTCTTACCAGTAGGCTACCAGAGCCCCCTAGACTTTTTATTGAGACTCTTACATTTTGTTGTTAGGTGTCATCAGTTGGTTATGACTCACAGGAACTCTGAACAACATTTTTTACCCTTTCCTTATCTTGCATCACCTGAACCATCCTCAGAATCTCTGCTGCATTCCAGTCCATTGTTAAGGTCAGTAAGTCAGTCCATCTTGTTCAAGGTCTTCCTATCTTTGTCTCCATTTTTCTCAGCATGATGTCTTTTTCCAGAGATTGGCCCTTTCTGACATTATCTCCAAAGTATGTGAGACAGAATTTCAGTATCATTTCCTCTGAGTAGTATCCTGGTTTTACTTCCTCCAAGACAGACTTCTTTGTTCTTTTGGCATTCCATGGGATATTCAGTACTCTGCTCCAACACCACAATTCAAAAGCACTGATTCTGTCATCGTTATCCATTGTCCAACTTTCAGATGTACAGGAAGAAATGGAAAAGATGTTGGCCTGCATCAGGCACACCTTAGTCTTTAAATTTTGTTGTGCCATTAATTAAGTCATTGACCATGTGAGGAAATTTACTGTCTATTGCTCTTCTAGATGGTTGCCCTGATATACCATATTTAAGGGCTGAAAGCTCCAACTATCTAAACACTTGGTTTGGTCTTCCTGGCATGACTAGCTCAGACTATCAGAGGACCCACCAAGAGTCCCCTTGTTAGCATCAACTATCAGATGTGTTTTTATGGATACCGATGAGTAACAAAGATCCTTTAGTCACTCAGCAGTTTTGAAGGATTGAAAGACTACATCCCAGGAACAGGGGACAAAAGATTGCCAAGTCTAATTGTGCATACACATGTCTAATTGATGTGTTATTCACAATAGCAAAGAGATGAAAGCAACCAAGTGTCCATCAGTGAACAAATTGATAGAAAAACTAGGGTACATTCACACAGTGGAATATCACGGAGCATTGAAAAATAAATTGTAAAATGTTCTACAACATGGGGGAACCTATAAGACTTGTCCTGAATGAGATATCTCAGTCACAAAAGGACAAACACTGCCTGACACTGCTGTTGTGAAATAGAACAGACATGAGGTGGGAGTTGGGCAGAGAATGGGAAAAAGTGGGTAGAGAGTGAACACTGCATTAGAATAGAATGGGGGAAGACTGTCAGCAAGGAATATATTATTAGACATTATGTATGACCACAATTTGGAACCGGGGGGGGCATTGCGGGGTGGGTTTGGAGAGGGAGGAGGGGAAGAAACTGTTCAACAATGAAAAAAATTACATATTAATAGAAGACAGTAAAATCGTTTATTACACATAAAAAATTAATTGTTGATTTTCATGAGGACTACTTAACTGGCGAAGAGATAGAAAATGAATTGGCCTTTTAGTGGAAATGGATACTTCTTTCCATGCTTAAGGGAGTCATTGATTAATATGATCTACTACTAATTGAAAGGGAGAATGGCCGCTAACTGAAAGGTTGGGAGTTTGAGATTCACCAGAGGTGTCCTGGGAGAGAAGTGTGTTGGTCAGTTTTGGAAAAATCAGTCAGTCATTGAAACCCCTGTGGAACAGAGTTCTACTCTGTAATGCAAATGGTGCTGTCACCACTCAGTGGAGTTGACAGCAGCTGAGGTTTTGTTCCAACCTTGAAAAATTCATGACCATTACATCCAAATGGAGCAATTCAAGGGGAAGCTTTTCAAGTATGTAATTTGGGACTATTTGGAGGCAGCTAAGTCAAAGACCTAACCAGAGGAAGAGAATAATGATGCTATTTATAAAGCAACTATTTATTTAATAACTACTATATAACAACAGGCTCAAAGTCTGACATACTTTGGGGCATGTTGCAAGGATGGACCAGTCCTTGGAGAAGGACATCATGCTTGTAATAGTGGAGGGACAGCACAAGAGAGGAAGACCCTGGATGAGATGTATTGTCTCAAAGACTGGGGTAGTGTAGGGTAGGTGTGTCAGAGATGATGATATTGGCTCAGGAGGGAGCAGGATTCAGACCTGTTGTACATAGGGTCACTATGAGTTGGAGAGGACTCGATAGCACATAACAACAATAGCAACAACATATAACAGGCCCAGAGGCTTACAAACAGAGTAATTTGTACTGGGTTGAAGGAGTATAGTAAAGCTATGATTCTGATTCATGAATAAGTCCCAGATTTCTGGTTTGAGGAACTCTGTCAGATTGGGAGTTCTGTAGTTATCAAATGAGTTCAAGGTCAAATAACTTT